CTCTTCACGGTGTCCCTTCTTGACTGACCTTTGCCTTTGCTGACGTCTTAGGTATTCAGGATGGCCTGGGAGCTGACAACTTGTATCTTAGCTGAGTCACAGATGTGTTCAACAAGCGCCACCTCATACATGTCTGGAGATGGTTTGGTGAAAACACTCCATTATTTGCATCTTCAAGACAACACATACATATGCGCTTCTTTCAAGAGGTATCGTTTTGGCCCAGGAATCGACGAGACTATTTGCATGATTTCCAAGCAGGTGATCCCATTGACTGCTTCAAGCATGTGGTGCTTCTGGCTGATTTCTTCGTGCTTCTTTGATTATATATATATATATGAAGAGATTCATGCCACCTTGCACCCTCTCACAACTCTTGGCTTGAAATTGAGGAGAATATATTTGGCTCATTTTCCGCGGAATACTACTGAGCTGTTACATTCTTGACCGTGTGATAGTTTGTCTCCTTCAGGCTCGATCCTTACCAAGGCTACAGTCCGTTGGCCCACCACACATTTTTCCGTATGTAATATATTTATACGCAGTTATATGCATCATACATAGACTTTTCACTTTGCTGGCTCTTGTTTTGACGGAGTTCTTAGTCTGTTTCACCTTGGCTTTGTTCCGACGACCCTCAAATAACTTTGCATAGGACATACAGCGACTGAACGGAGTGTTGTTCAGCATCTGAAGAGTTGCTGAATTGAGACTCCAGGTGCTTCTGTCCTTCTGGCAATCTCTGACCACAGCTAATGAGTCCCTCACCTTCTTGGATGCCCATGCGGGTGCCGGTGTCTATGACCTTCAGCAGGGCGCCGCCACTTTTCACAGGTAGCGAGTCCAAAAGAGCTTGTCGTTGAGTTTCGTGCTTATCTAGTCGCTTGGAGGAACTATCAAGATGGGGTTCAACATCTCTTTGAGATGGACATGAATGAGAAAAGCAGTGGAATTGCCCTGTACTCAGCTTCGCGAAGCAGATCAAATGCGGCAGAAAGTAAAGATTGGTCGCTTGTTCCAAGCTTCGCCGTACTCAGGTCCAGCAATTTTTGCAGACCTTACGTCGTTTCAACGAAGAAAAAGCCACTGAAGGCAGGAGATGTATTGCCAAGAACGCGCGAATGTACTGTACCTCTACAAACATCCCACAGGCACATACCTCTGCGTTGACGACACGTGTCAATGTATTGCGAGCACTTTCACATGACTTGTCACTACTGGATACTTTTCCTTCAGACCTTGGTAGTCAATCGGCTGGAGACGGTCACACTGTATTTGACTCCATTCAATTACCATCCTTAATCGTTGGATAGTCGATTTTTTTAATAGTCGGTTGATCGGTCAGAGACTCCCATGACATGAGCTTTTCTGCAATCTGCGGTCGGTCGTCCTCAAAAGCTCAAACGCCGACGAGGTGGGCCAGCCTTCTTCTTAGGATTGTTGAATGGGTATGTTATATGTTGAAGTGGATTTTCTGAAGCTTTTGCCGGCCTTCAATCATGGCCATGTCGAGTTGAAGACTTCCAGGCCAGCTTCGTTTCTACTTGGGTTCTTCCGGGCTTCTGAAGCAGTGGCTCCGGCCGCAGGATCAAGACTCTTGGCTTAATTGGCTCAGGTGGATTAAACAGACCGCCATCGTGTATTCACGTGGGGTGGTGCACTGGTGGGGTTCTTGGGATTGTTCGTTGCCTGTCTCAAGTGCCAGGCCATCTATGTTGAGGCTTCAGAGTCCATGATGCGGCACTTGAAGCTCAATCTGGAAGAAGGCAGCTGCTTCGGGTTTTGGATTGGAATCTCAAAAAGTGCTTGCATTTCCTTCGGCAAGAAACACTTGCTAGGTGATGACAATGATGCCAATTTGACCTTGCCACTCCACAAGGACGAGACGGTCGAGGAATCGAAGTGCTGTTAGAGCTACAACCCAAGTAGCGTCCTCCTCCTTCACACTCACCTGTCATGCACGTCGAAGGTCGAAGAAGTACGTTCTTTTTTTCGAGCAACACGGTGTTGGTTCTCTGGATCTGTTGAGCAACATTGCCTTTCTCACGTTCCTTTCCAAGCTGAGGTTGCAGACAGATTCCTACCGTTGGCTCTTGAATGCAGACATCCTGGAGGGCAAAATGTGACTTGCTCCGATGACATCGCGACGACCCCACGTCACGAAGTGGTGAGTTCTTGGGACTCCGGGCGACTTCGGGGGGTTCTCCAGCTGTTCCGCACGACTGGGTGGTGAGGTTGGTACTGCTGGACCCACCTTACGACTCAGCAACTTGCCGGCTTTAGACCTGGCTGTGAGAGATGTGGTGATGAGAGGTGCGAAGTCTTGAGCTTTAACTGATGACCAATAGCGAAATGACACTTGTTACTACTAGGTTTTTGTTACTACTAGTAAGGCACCTGTTACTACTAGCGTGGCACTTGTTTCTAATAGCTTTTTTTTTTGATGTTAGATTCGGTGAATAGTACATTTAATGGTTTGAAGTCATCAAGCATTGTCAAGCATGCTGCAAGATGAACTTGCACAAAGACCACAGGTGCATTCCTACCATGTTTGGAATCTCTTCATCATGAAGCATTTGCGGCATCGGTGGCCAGCATCCAAGCCTCGATTCAACGTTAAAAAGACTTTGATGCCAACTCGTGGACCATTTCTTAGATAAATCAGTGGCTTAAAGTTTGGATGAGCAAAAGATCAAGATCAATGCTAGCTGATATCAGCCAGTCCAGCAGACTTTATGATGGTAAAATACACATATGAAAAACACATTTGAGACGCAACATAGCTTGTGAGACAGACGCATCGCATCATCATGCGCAGTTTCAGCCCACGCTTGGTTCTGCCCTTGTGGTTCTGAGGCCTAGTGCTTCAGTGGCCCTGTGGTATCCCATCATCGACGACGTGCAGACTCAGAATTTCCACCAACGCCTGGCCGGGCTAGGTGAGATGGGTGTCGGTGGTCATGTGGTAAATGACATCAGCAGTTTGTAATCCAAGCACCCCTTGTTTGAAAGGGCATCAATGACACCACCTTGCTGCTTATAGGGTGTGTTTTTAGAGCATGTTGTACACATTCAAGCTTAGTGCGGCAGCAACAGTTATGATACATACTATTACTGTAAAACCGCCTAGAAGTCTTTTTATAGTGGTTGGCCAGTGGGACTTAACCAATTTGTTTCAACATCTTCAATTCGAGATCGGTTTGTGGTCAAACACAGCACCCGTGCAGTCCTGATTGGCAATGCACTTCCAGATGACTTGTCTTGACGCTCAGACTGCCTGGACACCACTTTTTGTTTCAGATGCGTGTGCACAGGCGAAGATGTGCTGGTGGCAGAGATTCAGGTGCGACATTTTCTTTGACTCTACCGGTACAATGATGTTCTTTGAAGCGCTTTGAAAGAACGTGCAAGATCAAAGTGAAAACGCTTGGAGGGTTGTTTTCAATGTTTTGCTCTTTGCCAACTGTGGGAACACAACTCAGGTTCAGCGACCATATGAGGAGCAGCAGTCCCACGCTGGCTTGGAACCTGAGACATGTGAACGGCAGGACTTCTGCAGAAGTCTGAGGAAGTTTGAAAGGTCCGAGGAAGTCTGAAAAAGAGTTCTGACCCAAACTGGTTGATCCGGTCTGAAGGCATACCAGTTACCTGCATCCTGCATGATACAATCTTCATACAACAAAAGACGCTGCAACTTCCACGCGTAGCGCATGGGCGCTTGAAATGAAACACCCCAAGTGCTGTACGGGCGCGTCCAGTCCATTTCTAGGGGCCTCCATTTTGGTTCACGCTCGGGAGTATCATTCGAGCTCGCAGGGTGCTATAACCCTCACTGAGGCATGGCTTTGCTGGCTGCGCCAGAGGAATTACAGCCCTTTGGCAGATGCTTTTGGTTTCGGCCACTGAGAAACTAAGTCTCTTGCTGTTCTCTTGTACCAAAATTGCAAGAAGGATATACAGTAATGAATTTGTTTCCGTCCATGTGGTAGCTTAACAGCCATACATATACATATAATATGTATATATATATATATATGTACACATACATACGCCATCATACATTTGCTTATTTGTATGGATCAGAAAGAGACTGTGACTGCCCCTCAGTCTCGGGCCAGGTCCACGCTTGAGTGCGAAGTATCGGCTTTGGCAAAGATGTTGGCTTCAAGTATCTTGACGGCCACCGATACTTCGCACGGCGACCGAAAAAACCAGCTGCCAGAACAAAGCCAGAACACCTGCTGTCAGAATTGTTAGATCTCTAAGCCAGTGCTTTCCCATGGTGTCATGGGATAATCAATGACATGTATCAAAACAGCTGCTCTGTCACACCTCTCTTCCTTCTCATCGTTTGCATTCCATGTCTTGTCGTTCAACGGTATTTCGTCCGTTTCCCTCCCAGGTCCCTGCGAACGGAATGTCCGTTCATCCGTGTTTTGGATCGGGAGAAAGCCAAAAAGCTGACCGAAGACAGGGACGGGACGGCGGGACGGGAAGCGAACGTGGAAGCGAGTGGTGACATGGTTTTCTGGAAATACTTTGTGTTGAATTGTAGACTCTACTGTAGACTTGGGGAAGCATGAAGTGATTGAATCCACAACATTGGAGATCGTGGGAGAGGATATGTCATGCAATCTGAAGAGGTTTGCTGGAGTGAATGAGAGGCTGAGAATCGCGGGCCTTAGCAAAACCAGAGCAGTCAGCTGCACCTGGCCCGTCCCTCGCTGCTCTTTGGCAAAGGAAAATAGTTGGAGGGCGGTTTTCGCACTCCTGAATGATTCTGTGTATTTCTGTGTGAACATGGGACATCAGCCCAAGCCGAGAGCGCTAGTTGTTGGAGGGTGATCCTTCCCTATTCTCACTGCAGTTCATCATTTCAGTGCTTTGGAGCTGTTGAGGCTCTCCACCACTATCCACCAGTATCCAACATCGACCCATCCAGCATCCAAGTCACGAAGCGAGTCGAACGGACATCTGCAGAAAACCAAGCGAAACGGACATCTCACGGCGGACAGCACACACTCCTGGCAGAAGATGTGAAATTTGCTCGGCCATGCCTTGTGAGCCTATTCGCCCCGTGGCTGCAAAGAGTGACAGATTGAAGCAACACAAGACCTCTTATGCCCAAACAGCATCCTGTTTGGAAGGATCCTCTATATTCTGTGACATGTTTAGGATAGCCCCTTTTCAGGTGAACATGTCAGTGGTGTGGCACAGTCGGCAGCTGCCTCCTGGCCAGAGTTTCTGCCCGCGCCAACGAGTCGGCGCGCACGCGCGGCGGCCGTCTGGGCCGACTGGTCGCTCTTTGGTGGTCCTCAAACAGATAGAAACGATGTGCAATGCATTTGGGAAGGGAGAAGGGCAGGGAGTATATATATATATATATATACAACAATGTTCTCCAAACAGTAACACCATGCCGGGCCAATGTAATTGGCTGCGAGAGGGAAAAAGGTACAGTTTATTGTCGGGGGTTCTCTTAGAAAAAGGAAGCTGTGCGGGCGTTGTCCCCCGGTTGTCCTCAGTCTTCCTCTTGGTGTCCTCCTCTCACAGCTTGTCATGCTACGACCTCCAATATTTGCCATGCACGACAAGTGCTGATGACCCTGTTTCGGGTCGGGTCTGTGCTGGTTTGTCTTCATCGATTTTCCGAGTTGGGGTCACCTCAATCACCTCAAGCACCCCAACTCCGTGGGGCGAACGCGTTCTGAGGTCCTTTCGCTGACCTCGGGCGTTTTGGGCAGCTTCCCAGGCGCCGAGAACGAACCGGGTCGCCAGCCTTGGCCGAAGTTCCGTCTGGGTTCGACATGCAAGGCGCTTCGCGAACTGGTTCAAAAAGTAGCTCCTCTGGAAGCACTTCTGCGTCTTTGCCACTTGGTCAGGGTTGGACGGGTCATGGCGTTTTGTCCGTCCGATGATCTTCAGTGTGCCTTGATACGCTATAACCGAGGTTCGGTCTACACTTTTTAATGTTCTCCCAAGAACCAGAAGTGATAGCAGACACTTGGTGACGGTGATACCAGAACTGACAATAGACTGCTTTTCGTGCAGTCTGGTTTGTACATGGGCGAGTAACCTGATAATCTATATAAATGTTCAGTAAAGTCACGCCTCCAAGAACCTTGAGCAACGTTTTGGACATTCAACAGTCGCGCACATTCCAGTCCAGTGTCTTTGGGACGAACAACGCACCTCCCATGGGACTCCCATCATCCGCTCTCGAGGGACCTGCTGTCAAACAAGGGAGTGCACAGGTGTTGATGTATCTGGGGGAGACCACAGCATCGGAACCCTTGACAGGAGAACATCAAAGGTGTTGGAACCGTTTAGAGTGAAGAAACCACAGCATAGGAAACCATTTATGGTGGATCTCTTGAAGTGTTTTTTCCTTGTCCATTTCTATGACCAGTGTCTGATAGCCACTCTTTGCCCGGTCCTGAGGTCAAGGAGGCCGAGTGCTGGCACGGCTGACATGACCTCAGCCACACCCAGCGCTTGCTGGGATGCCGAATGGGAGTGGGGTGGGAGAGATGATGGGCCCATTAGCGGCATGGTGTTGTGAATTGGGTCACATCTTATAACTAGCCATATAATATGATTATGACCATCATCTTTGCTGCATTTGGGTTGATTCTGTATGATGTTATAACTACCCTTCAAAGCTTGGAGGCACCTGGAACTGGAACCACCCAACGTGATGGCCATGAGAGAAGTTCCCGGGTGTTCCTTGACACAAGAATTTGAGTGGTGGCCAAAGCCAGCAACGACAACCCTACAGAGGCGATGACTGTTCCATGCTTTTGCAACCCAAACATTTGAAAGGACAATTGCGCAATAACGGGTGTGATTTTTCCAGTCACTTGCAATTAGATTCTATGTGTGTTTGCTTAACGATCGTGCAAACATTTTGGTGACCTTCATCAACCCGGCAGGCGACCTAGCGGTGTTGGCAGACACTCAAAATGTTTCCAACATGATTACTGTATATAAATCCTTGGAAACCGAGGGATCTGTGCTCGATGTGAACATGTGCCCCTTTGGGCGTTGTCACTCTGAGCCCCTTCCTCATGAGCAATGCGTTTCAAAAAAAAAAGGAGACTGCGTCACCTACGTGCGGACATAGTCTAAGACCATTTGATTTTGCCGTGCATTGCTGACCTTCTGAGCCTTTTCAGACCGCAGGTGGCAGTGTCTTCTCCCCTAGTCCAGCTGCAGCCGCTGCTTGGCTGGACACTGGACGCTGGTGAGATGGGGAAAGATTGAACAAGGCTCCTTCATGATGCCCCAACGTGCTTCTTGCTCCTAGTAGCGATGCACCTTGCTACTAGTAGCTTGTTGTTCCTAGAAGTAATGCCAGGAGCTACTAGTAGCTTCTTGTTCCTAGTATATAAGGCTCCTTCATGATGCCCCTATCCATTTCAGCTGCGCATCAATCACCCTCTTTGGGGCTCCAGAAGCTGAAGCAACGAAGCGAGGTCCGCAGCGCAATGCCAAGCAGCTGCCTGGAGCTTGGTACTTCCATACGGTCGCGACCGTAAGGTTTGAGTTATGCTCTCCTCACGCCCAATGCGATCGCGAGAGACAAAACCCCTGCTATCTTCTTGGTTTAGCGAGTTCAGAGAGACATTCATCACAATCCATGCTGCTGTCGGTTCGTGTGTTTTGAACAACACCCGGACCTTTTTCATCCCTTTTCCCTGACATTATGCTGGATTGGCATATCAAACAGATCATAGTAGGGAATGAGGGTCACTTGTGGTGCTTCCGTTGCTTTGCACCATTTTGCACCCCTTGTTGGGCCCGAACTGAGTTCTTCACTCCACGCTGGGATCCTCCACCCTCAGCACAGCATCAGGCGCTTTGCCAATCAAGCCTCGCAGTGTCAGCATCTGTGAGTCCAGCATGGGAGGTGGCCGGCCGGTGAACTTCGGGATGTGGCTTTGGGGTGTCAATCTTCTCAAACCGTTGTCCGAAGTGTTGAAAGCCACCATGGCCGGACGGTTGTGACCGGTTGGAACAGGTTGGAACCGTTGGTTTGAATGGTTTGAATGGCCTGGTGGTTTGATCCATGGGACCTTGTGCATTCCTGCCGCTACGAAGGAACAAGCCTGCCGATCCGAAGCAGAAGCGACACAGGCTGTGGACAGCTCTCCGATGTGGCGACGGCGATGGTCTCCAGACATCCAACCTTTCGATGTTTTTGCGTGTCTTTTTAGGCAAAACATGATTAGTATGGATGGCCTCGGATGGCGTGCTTCTCGTCCAAAGAGCCAAACTCCCCGTCCTGAGTCCTGAGTCCCATGAGAAAATGAAGCAAAACACTCATGTGGAAGGCCAGGAGCCGTCCTTGCTCCTAGCAGTAGGCCAGGAGCCCCTAGTAGCATCCTGTTGTGAACATAGTGACTCCATCAGAGTTTGTGTTTCTACAATGCACTGTTCCATTGACCGCAGAGGCAGCAGCTTAACTCTGCCGATCAAAGGAAGAAGTGTCAGCGAAAGTGCCTGCGATGCAGGCCCTTGGCTTTTGAACCTGAGAAGGTTTCCAAATCATACCAAGACCGTACGTCAAAGAAACATAAAGAAAACATTCAACCACATTTTCGTTAAACGTTGCCTATGTCTTTGCGCACTGTTCTGTGCGGATCTGTGCTGTAAACACCATCGTTCGTATGTTGTTACCATGGTCTGCTCGGATTTTTTCAGGCACCTTCTCCACAGGGAAACACCTGGAGAGACACAAAACTAGTACCTGAGTAATGATGTTTTCTCACATGTGAAAGTATTCGATCCTCGCGGATGCTTCAAATGATCGGTCGCTCTGCACGACGATCGCCAACCCGAAGCGAACGCCACAGATCGTCCTGCATCCGGCCTAGCGCTGCCGATACGCAGCCGCAGCAGCTTGGAGCCAGGTAGCTGGTTGGATGGGTTGATCAGTTGGCTCGCTCCGGTTGGGCTGAATCAGCTGAGGTGTGGTGAATTGGTGGGTTGCTTGACATTGTCAGCGGTTCTTGCTTTCCCACGAACATCTCAGACATTCCAGTTCTTTTTCTTCGAAAGGTGAACCTGTAAACAAACTCTATTCTTGATGGGTTGCAGCAGTTGCACTGCGCCATATTTCTATATACTTCTAGGTTGATTGATCTATGTTGATCCAACGGCACCAGAAACGCATGTCGATCGTCCCAACTCCCTTTTCGGGTGCGTCCTTGCCTTCGTGCGCTATGCCGGTGCCAGGTCGGAGTGGCTTGGAGTTGCCCATCGCAGGGCGCTCTGCAGGGGAGCACAGGAGATGGGCAACGGATGGTTCTCAGTCCACCAGCGGAGCTGTCTGTTCTGAGTGGAACGCTCAACTTTGTTCAACTTAGTCTGCGGTGGAAGGCAAGCGCGGTGGTGGTCACAGCACTCATGGAAAAGGATCTCAGTGAAAGGCCGTTGCAATACTTTATCCCAGGGTGTTGGATGGTCCTGCCACCCGATATGGTAGGATGATTTGGATGATTTGCAGCAATCAGCCGCATATCTGTCATGTCACTTATTTTGGATATGACATGATATGACATGATATGACCAAGTCTGCTGGGACAGCTGCCGGCCCACCCACCCTCTGTCTCAGGTCGTCGCAAGTGCTGACCGCAAGAGGTCCGAGGTCCGTGAAGAGGGGCCGTGCGCTGCAGGCGGCTTGGGGCATGGCAGTGCCTCCGTCGACTGTCCGCGTGGACCAGCCGGTACATGTCGATCCATGCCGCTGTGTTATGTTCTTTTTCCAAACATCCAATCCATGACTCCATGACTTGCATTGTGGCCATGTTGCCATCGCGCCAGCGATGCGCGGTGCGGCACGCAGGAGCGAGAACGGAGCCAGCGACGCAAGCGACCGCGGCCAGCTGTGGCGTTCATGTCTCAGGGTTTGGAAGCGGCCAGTGGAAGTTCCCAGCGATAGACTGGCATAATTCATTTGATATACAGATACAGATAGTTAGTTCAATTGTGATATATATATATACAGTATATATGATAGGGATGATAGAGGGACCTTCAGGTAACATTCTTGTATATATATATATATATGTCATTTGGCTGTTGCCTGTGCCGTGTCTTTGATGCCAATCTTTGCCAAGGTGGCCCTCCTGAATTGTGCCGAGGGCTGAGGAAGACTGTGCTGGAAACACTGTGGTCAAACTGTTCTCTCGACTGGTCAACATCTTTCTGTCAGATCATGGGGAGCAAGCCTTCACATTTGGAAAACGGTGAGAGTGTGATACTTCTATTGAGTTCTGAAGCTTCAGTGGAATCAAGAGAAGTAGTTATAGGCACTAGGCAGTCAATCAAGACGACCACCAGGGATATGTCATATGGTTATTGGAAGGTGATGGAAGAATGTCAGGGTTGGCGCCGCCGTTGGCGCTCCACTGCCGGCAGATTTGCATCTGTTTCTTGTGCCATCCTCTGTATGTTTCTGGAAGATGCTAGAACTGCTAGAAGCAATGAAGCAACATGTCCACCCAGTTCGATCCCCGTTCGGTCGCGAGGTCTTCAGCGACTGGGACAGTGAGGAGTCGAAGTCGCCCATGACCAAGGCCAAGTCCAACCCGCAGTTGACTGGATCACCAGGCGCCACGACTGACAGATGACTGACATGAGATGGGCACAAGGGTGTCATACAGCACAAGGGGCAGAAGGCGCTATCCAAGAATGGGCACCCAGGTATGCAGTCGACTGAGATGAATGCATGCTCAAAAGCATTCCTTTTTGCGCTTTGCAGTCGGGGCCGTGACTGTGGAGCTCTGAGGGGAGGGATGCTGGCACCATCCGATGATTGGCATCTGATGGCGATATCATCTGATGGCCATCGTTCTCACACGGTCCGAGTGATCAACCCAGCCAGGGAAGATATATATATATATAGCCACATATCTGAGAGGGTGCGCGAAACAGGACACCCTCCTCGAGGGATCTCGAGGGACCGGGTAAGGGATGAATCATGTAAAGCTGTTTGGGGGCTAGACCAGCTCAACTTGCGCCTCAACCTAGACCATGCTAGATCTGTCGGAATGATTCGAAATGTATTGAAACAATCGCTACCTTCGAGTAAACTCATGGGGCCTTTTCTGCACATCCTTATTCGAAGGTCGAAGGTGTTCTCTTTTAATTTTGTGATCAGGGGACCAGGATCGGGGACCACGCGTAACTGGCGTTTCCAGGTGATGAAACTCCTGTATCCTCTTGCAGTCACAGAAGAATGAGCTCGAATGTTCAGTACAAAGGCGCGTGTTTGTGGGCGCCAGCCGCAGCCGATGGCGCATTGCGGTTTTGATTCAATTCGAGGTGTCCGTGTTCTTGGAACATGTGCGTCCACGTGTGGACGCGGTGTGGACACAGACCCGATTACTTTAGATGACTTCATGAGATGTGTCCCTTTACAGGGGGCTAACACAGACAAAAACCATCTCTTTTCGGAGCCCGGAATCCCTTGGAATCCCTTGGAATCGCTTGGAATCGCTTGGATGGAACATCTATTGCCGTGTCACGTCTGGTCCCTCTTTCGTTCCGCAACGCGAGACACGTGCCGGAGGAGTGTTTGGACTGTAAGCACATCATCCCGGCAGAATAGGTCCACATGTGCAAGGGGACGTGAAGGGCTTGGGCCTTTTGAAAGAACCGAGCCATTCCGTCGCAAACCGAGTCTAAACCAGTTGAAACCTGAACACTTTCGGTGAGGTCTCCTCGACTCTCGTGTCGACTCTTCAGGCTTCATCTCCCAGCACAGCTCGGACATCTCGGTCTATGACGCTTGGACATCTCGGTCAGTGGGGGGTGAACATGAGACAACGACTGAGACAGGACATAAATGCGGGGGTGGGGTTACCAATCTTGCAGGACATTCACCAGTGACGCCAGTATGTCGAGAGATAGAATTCACTCCAGTTTTCAGTTTTCAGGCGATGTCACGATGTCAATATACACACACAGTGCACCAGCACCACTTTCTTGGATATCAGACATGTGGGGGAAGTCTTTAATGCATTTTCCAAGAAGCATTCCTCAATTGAACTGATCAAAGAAAGGACTGAGTGGCCAGGCTAAAGTACAGATGAAGCATTTTGCCAATGCTAAATGCTTCTTTTCATACGTCTACTTGGCGCATGCGTGCACACCACGTGCACGGTTTGGGAAGACTCATGCTTCTGCTTCCGGTCGTTGGAGTGGAAGTGTAGGCAGTTCTGACATCGATGGCTACGACTGTCGGGTGGCATATTAGCTAGAAGCTACTAGTAGCAGGTGCATCGCTACTAGTAACAAGTGCATCGCTACTAGTAACAAGAAGCTACTAGAAGCTTCCTGTTACTAGTAGTAATGCCAGGAGCTACTAGTAGCTCCTTGCTTCTCGTAGTAAGGTGCCTTGCGACTAGTAGCTTCTTATTACTATATATTATATAGTAGTAATGCATAGTAATGCCCCTGTCTTCCGTTCAGGACGAAGTCGGCGTTCGCCAAGCCGTTCAGCTTTCACCCGTCCCAGGATCGTTACGATTTTGGTGAGCTCTTGGGAGAGGGTGCAGCTGGATCCACCTGGGAGGCGCATCGATCCGGCGGGGGTGTGGTCAGACTTCACAGACCTGTCGTCACTTGTCGTCAGTTACTTATGCTTTTTCCCAGATTGGAAGGTGAAGTGAAGCTGGTCAAAATCATGGTTTGAACATCGTTTTGATGGTTTGCTTTACTCGGATTCTGACATGTTGCAGAATCCAAGTTCCCTATCTTGCAGCTGTTTCAGACTGACCTCAGTCTCACCTCCTTCTCCGTCAATAGTGAGACGGAGAATCATGGGCTGTGCCTTTTCAGCGGTGAAGGAAGACATGCTTGACCAGTCGTTGCAAAGCTTGGAGCCTTTGTCTTCGTGGGAGATGACAGCAGCACATGTAATGCAGGAAGCTGCACACAATATGGGACCCATTGCCCCTACGAGGCTGTCACATGAACGACATCTCTTCGCTTTGGATCGATTCCTAACCAAGGTTGACCGAGCTCCACATCGCTTTTCACAAAAAGTGGATCGCTATCGAGCAGCGATGGAGGTTGCAGAGCCGAAGGAGGATGCTGGAACTATGGTGAGTGTGCAGTTCTAGCACTCACTCTCCTGCTCCAAAGGAGCAGAGTTTCTGACAGCACCGAAGGTTACCAAGCTATACCAAGCTTGTAGCGGAAGCACAGATCGAGAATCAGGGATCTGGCTGGAACCTTCGGGCGCACTTACAGCTCCTGGGGGTCCCTGACGCGAAAGATGGCGTAGTCTGAGTTTCTGCAGTTGGGGAAGAAGCCTGAAAGATCTAAGCAGATCTCTGGCAGATCACAGAACGCATCAGATATCATCAGATCAGAGAGTTTGCAATTCTTCCTTTAGAAGGGGACAACACAGAAGCATCGTTGTGCCAGCCTTCCTTGTCCAAGGGCTTCTATCACACACCCATTGCAAAACTCTTGCTGCAGCCTAGAACCTAGCTGACCTACTGTAGCTCTTTTTGTAGTAGCACCTTGACATGGCAATCTCCTACAACCGCACACTTGGCTCTTTGAGCTTGCCACTAGGTTGGGCAACAGTTTTTGCTTTGCCAGTGACTGGTACCATTGGTCCATATATTGGTGCGTACCATCATTCGGGGATCTGGAGAGGACTGTGGGTGTTGTAACGCCCTGCTGCTGGGGAGACAAGCTGTGCTGATTGTAGGGCGAAAGGCTAATTCGAACTTTTTGGCACCTTAATCCTCAGCGATTTGGCCATCCAGAGATTTGCAGAGAGCGGTTTTGCGCGTCAACTGCAGTTGGGGAAGAAGCTGAGCCAGCCAGATGCTCCCAAAATCAAAGAGTGAAAGAGTATTTATATACTTGTTCAAGACGTGTATCATGCAGTCTACATTCTGCTGTGGAACGACTGGGTAGTGGCTTCGACTGCATACTCTGGCTGAATACAGTCAGTGGGCGCGTTTTGATAACAAGCGCAGCTCCAAAACCCGACGATGTTGTTCTTTTTGGTCGATCAGAAGAGCTTCCATTTGTTATGGCAGATGGGCAGGGCTGAGCTTGCACTTTCCAAGTCGAGAATGTTCTGGCAGAATATTGTCGATTGCTTGAACGTGAGCGTGCGGTAGCCACTTATTGCTGCAGTTGGGATAGATATACCCACTGCAGAGAAGGGTGCTGCGAACTTTCAGAGCACTGGCTTGCTGGAGAGCAAGGACACACAAGCAAAGTCCCACACAGCATCCAGTCATTGGTAATGTCAGAAGTGAATGAGCCAAGCTTGCGTGTTGCAAGTCCATGCGAAAACATTCCGTAAGTTGCCAAATTATACAAACCTTTATAGTGACGGACAATCACTTAGAACAAATCGGTGAACAATAAACAAGAAAATGGCGCTGCGAAACCTTAGACTTAGAACATGCAAAAACCTGACACTTAGATACACTTAGAACATGATAAACCCATCACTTAGAACAAAGAGAGCTCATTTTTTCTAAATTCTAAATTTATCTGAATTTGTTCTAAGTGCTTGTCCGTCACTATTCAGGTTGGGTAGACATTTGACGCGATTGGGTTGAAATGCTGTAGGGACGCTACGAGGAGCAAGGACGCTACTAGGGGCTCCCGGCCTTACTACTAGGAACAAGGTTCGCTACGAGCAAGGACGCTACTAGGGGCTCCTGGCCTTACTACTAGGAACAAGAAGCTACTAGAAACAAAGGGCATCGCCACTATATAGGAGCAAGGATGCTACTAGAGGCTCCTGGCCTTACTACTAGGAACAAGGTTCGCTACTAGTAACGAAGGGCATCGCTGCTAGGAGCAAGGATGCTACTAGGGGCTTGTACTGTATATGTTCTAAGTGCAGGATTTCAATTGTTCTAAGAGCAAGGCTTAGAACGCGTTTTTTTTGTTCTATGTGTTGGGTCCTCGGCATGTTCTATGTGACTCTTTTTTTTTGGTGAAAAAACTATGTTCTAAGTGGTTGTCAGTCACTATAGCTACGTCGCACAATCCTGCAACCGAACCTTCAATGTTGGTGGCCTTACCCCTAGGTAAGGTTGAGTGTACGAAATGCACAGAATCATACGCTGCGTCCCTGCCTCAGTGAACTGGCCAGAGCTGCTATCAGAACGGGATTCTGTCCCGACACGTGCGGCACCAAGGCAGGTGTCCCAGCATGGCAGCCTTTGCCCTCCGGTGGCTGATCAGATACACAAAAACAAACATAATTTGCCAGTGTTTGCCCTTGGGGCGACCCCTGCTTGGTGAACATGAAGCATTTGTTGGCAGGAGGAAGAAGCCATGAGACAGACTCAGACACTGCCAAATCGGCCAAGCCGTGCAGTACGCGAAGCCTCATCCCCAAGCAGACGTATCTTCAAACCGTCAGTGAGCTATCCATTGCTGCCATAGCTCGCTGAAGTGGGGCTGGCTGCATTGGACATGGTATCTGCATGGGGACAGCGCATTCGATGGCGCATCACACCGAGGCAGAGTGCCATTATCATTTGGGCAAGATGAATACCATGCTTCAAAAGCACCTGAAGTAGAGTGCATCCTCACAGTGCCACTATCCTTTGGGGATCTTTGGGGGGGTTGCTTGGTTGGGCAAGCTACGAACCTCATTCAACCCAACTCCGAAGAGTTGCGACGACGAACAAAACGAGTGGAATGTGGATGAACGAAAGACACCCAACACTGTTGTGACATCAAAGAACATCAAAGAACTTATTATATATAAGTCACGCACAAATATAGCTTTTGATGTTCATTACGCCTTTACTTTTATGTATTAGAACCTGCTATTTGTTGTGCCAGCTTTACACATCGGGAAGCATGTGCACAAGTCTGAAGATGTGGTATGCCGATGTATGCCGATGTATGCCGACAGATAGGATCAATGATTCTGTGGGTGGTTATGCTATGCTTGTGTTAAGGCGCTCAATCTCTCGGTGACCACCAAGTGCTATACACTTCGTGTCCAAGTTGCTGCGAGCCACGGGGTCGCCTCCTCGCTGGGTCGAGAAAAGAAAAGAATACGAGTGCGAACGAGACGTGAACGAGACGTGAACGAGACGTGAACCGCGTGGCGCGAACGCGGAGGACTCGAGCCGATGTCGGTCACTCGGGTGGACCTTTGGACCGTCGAAGAGCTAAGCTGGGACCAGATCGGACGCTTATTGATCGGATGGACATGGGATGAAGGTCCCCTGATCCGCCATGAAGGTCCCCCACCTGAAGAGGTCCAGGTGAAAGCCCCAGCCGAAAACCCAACTTTTCAGCTGAAAACCCACGTCGAACAGCTGAAAAATACCTGCCCGCAAGGCCTTTCCTCGAGTGCGGGAGACCAGGAGTGGGACCCGGGCACGACGCCTGAGTGGCCAGGCCAGGCCTCGAATCGCCGAAGTGGGTTTATGTACAACAGTCAAGCCCATCAAGCCCAGAAGTCAAAGCGAATGTAATATGAAAGGAGCACATCATACAGAATCTTACATCGAAATATCCAACATAAACATACGTTACTAGTAAATGTTCATATCGCAATAATCACCCCTCCTTAGTGGAATAATGGTGGAGTAAAAATATGTTGGTGCCACAATAAACTTGCTGCTTATAATACACCTACTTGGATGTTATACTTGAAGAGCAAGAAAGAGAGGTTTATTATTGCAATAGCCGAGAAGAAAGTTTATTATTGTACAGGAGAAAGTTCGGTTTATTATTGCAACCTAGGAGACAGTTGGAATTGAAAGGATAGTTTGGTATTGACAAGACTTTTGAATTCCCTTGAAAGGGTGCAATAAAGAAATTGATAGTCTCAGATTGGCCACAAGAATTGAATTTGATTGTTGCTTTAACATATAGTATTGATCAAATAGGATTTGCTAGAAAGAGACGTTTACTAATGTACACGAGAAGATTCATAGGAGCAGATTCATTATTGTTATTGCAACCTATTTGAAAAAAACACAGTTCTTTTATCATTGACAGTAGTTTATAGCTGACTCGTCGTTTAAAGTTGTAATGAAACCTATTGTTCAAAACATGTTTTTGTTTTTTGTTTTTATTTGCAGATTTTATAATTGACTCGTCGTTTTAAGTTGCACCCTATTGACAAAAGTTGAAGCACGTTTCTTTATATTGGCAGGTGTTTATAATTGATTTGTCGTTTATTTTGCAACCTATTACCTGTTAGATAAAACAATGTTTTATAATCTCAGTAGTTCATACTTGTTTGTTTTTAGTGGGGAGAATTGGGTAACTCGCGGTCTACTATACAACCGATTGAACACGCAGTTATATTGTATATAGTTGGTCTTGGTTTATGATTGTGATATGAACATTTCATTAAACATCTCTCAAGAGTACCTACAGTACTACTGCCAGTATCAAACGTGGAATTGATGATGCACATCAGACCTGGAGAAAGTCTGTGTGCGGACACCAGAGCAACCGTTTTGCAGACCACGAGAACGTATTAGATCCCTGGTCGAATGTTGGTCAGCACGATTCTATTTCTACCGTACTTCTCTAGCTCCAACCTGTGTAATTCTGTTCTCTGAATTGCTACGTCGAATTGCTGCAAATGGCCAATCTTTTGTCCGGACATGTTTCTTCTCGCCGTTTGGCCGCTTCAATCGGCTTTCTTTCGGGTCCCGGGTCCGTGGGACGCTCGGTGCCGATGTCAGGAACGGCCAAGAGCGATCAAGAAGGTGCCCAAGCGCCGGGTCAGCAACTCTACTGAAAGCTTCCTCGCGGAGGTCGAGGTGCGGCGGCGAAAAAGCCGTGGGAAACAGCAGGATGTTTTGCCAGAGACCGGTGCAGAAAATGGCTTGAGAGGCCTGAAGAAAAGGTGACCTGAAGAATTAGGTCAGACATGTCTTCGGCCTCGCACGGCGGAAGGTCCTGAAAGAACTTGATCACCCTAACATCTGCAAGCTTTATGATGCTTGGCGCCTGCGGGACTTTAGGTGATTGCCGAAGGAAGAGTGATTCACTGCTTGAGGTTCGGTTGTGATGCCAGACACATCCGCAGTGTTCCACCACCCAACCTCAGCCTGGGGATGATCCGCAACACCTGCGTTCCTCATGGTTCCTCAGGAAGTCTTTGAGGATGCAGACAACATCTTCTTGGTCATGGCACTTTGGCTTAACATGCTTAGAGGAAAACAAGTTCGGACATACGGAACAAAAACGACAGGTCCAATTGATGCGGTTTTCGTTTTGAAGGTCAGTGAGCTCCAGATCGTGAGCTACAGTCAAACATGGGCGACTCAGGAGCTTTGCAGGGGTGGAGAGCTCTTCGACCGGATCACGCAAGGAGAACTTGGAGGTGAGGCTCAGGCCAGGCTTTTCCTCGCGGTGCCGCACAGTGCCGCCTGCAGTTGTGCAGCCCTTTGATGGCTGCATCGTCATATTTGCCTTGGCTACTGTGACAGGTCAACAGATTTCAGCCTTGAAAGAGAAAAGTAATAACATGTTCTCAGCATGTTCTCTTCTTCACACGTTTTGGGAGGCTGACCCGGAAAGAAACGCACTGCACCTGCAAGCCCATAGGTTGCCAAGCTGATTCAGCAGTTGGCTCATGCTGTGCGGTGCGCCCTCTGGCCTCTGAGTTCCACATTTGATGCCAGTTTGATATCAGCATCACCACATTGAACTTTGGCATCTAAACTGAACCCGTATTCTTCAACTGAATGCTGCTCCCTCCCAAAACGGTCCTTCCGTATTCTTTCCAGTTTGACCTTCCAGGTACTGTCATGATCGGGGCATCATCCATCGGGACATTAAGCCAGAGAATATCCTCTTCGTGTCCCCGGAACCCGATGCCCCGGCGAAGCTCATTGACTTCGGTCCCTTGGGCTTCGCACCAGTACCGCGCGCAGTACCGCTGGTCTCGGGGGCGAAAAGCGACGAAACGAAGCGGCATGGCAGCTTGACGTTCTGGAGCGGTTCTTCATGCCATACAATGTACTCAGACTCAGCCACATCGGTGCAACATGGGTATGATGTCAACCTCCCAAGGTCTTGCATTTTCTGTGAAAACAAATCCAGGACACCCATTGTTCAAGGAATCAGAAATAGACCGTGCTCCCGTGTGCAGGCATTGCGTGCCACTTCAAACAGACGGAGCATCGGAGGGATGAGAAGGGCACGGAGGCGCCGTCCTTCAAGGGACTTCAAGAGACAACTGGAAGTGACGGCCTCCTGGGTTTTGACGGCCTCCTGGGTTTCAGCATCTTAGAAAACAATTCTCGTCTCCAAGGGGGAAGACGCATCTCGACGCCTGAAGGCCTACTTGGCACCCGAGGTGAAGGACAATAGCTCGTACACCGAGAAATGCGTTCCTGGGCGATGTTTGGATGGAGGGGAAGACTGAGAAGTTCTGTCTAATATGGTCGAATGACCAATTGAGACCAGGCACCCAATAGCGCCCACCATTTATTTAGCCCAAGCACCAAAGAAGAGAATAGAGGCACCGGACTTGCCAGCTTAGTGCTTGGCACCGGACACAGGTAGGACCTTGGAATCTCAACTGCGAACTGCTCGCGCTTAGGACCTTTGGTCTCTCGGCGTTCTTTTGTATGCAATGCTCAGTGGCTCTCTACCATTTAAATCAGCTGCAGCTGCAAGGACAGGCGGCAGTCATTTTCCGGCATGGTAAGAGGTTTCACATGACAGTTTTGGGGAAGTTCGTGTGGAACAGTGTGGACAGTTGCGTGGAAAGCCATGCGGCAAGCCACGCGGAGCGTCTTCTGGTCACTCTCAGGAAGACGGAAATAGACCAAAGGCCTGTTGCTACTTCTTTGTCCCAGATATGTTGTCAGCACGAATCTAATTTCGCTCTGAAACTGATTACTTGAGAGGGTGGGAGTCGGGTCGGGTCGGGGGTGAACGGACTCAACTAAGCGCCAGCTCAGGCCAGGGACGACGGGGTTCCGTTGATGCCAGGAGTGGCGACTTCTCCTTGGAGGCTGAAGAATGGCAACAGATCTCCTCAGAAGCCAAGGAGCAAGCGATCCCCAGAATGTTTGTGCCCTGAACGTGAGGGGATGATCATGAATGATCTAAAAATGTTAGATGGACAAGATGAACAGTATGTTGGCCTATCAGAGAACCTCAATGGTGCAGGGTGGCCACATGCGGACGCGTGTGGCGCTCGCCTCGGCTTCCAGGACCTGATTCGGCACTTACTGGTGGTCGAGCCCTGTGAGCGGCTCTCGGCTGCCAAGGTCCTGGAGCATCCCTGGGCCACCAGTCCGCACGAAGGAAGAACGAAGTCAGAGATTTGATATGAACGCCTTGAGCAGCCAGTGGTTAGATATGCTTAGGGTATCTTAGGGTTGCGACAAAATTTACGGAGGCCAATCCCAAGAATTCTGGCTCCATCTTGTGAATTGAGCGGTTCGCTTCTTGGGGGATCTTGGGGGATGCACCTTTCAAAGGTGCTGGGAACTGAGGTGACTGCCAGCCTGGAGGAAGAGGCTGTTCCCGTGAAGGCTGCCGAACAGGGACCGCAGCTTGGTGTCTGACGTATGAATAGGCAGACCTTCTCAGCAGCGTGGTTTGAAAAGGACTGCAAAAAGATGCAAAAAGCGTACGTATCATCATAGCATCATTCTTGTGTGGCCTGACGGATTTCTGCCTATCCAATTTGAGACGATCTTTCCATAGCGCCCTGCAGCACTTTAGCCCATGCATGACGAAACGGAAACCTCAGAAAAACACATGTCGTCTCTTTGTTGAAAAAGCTCGTGCCAGGTCCAAGTGCGTCTGAGACGCTATCAGAGCACATCTTACTTCCGGAGGCGAGGTGCGTCCCACGTTTTCGAGACGAGAATGAAAAAACCTGCACCGCCACCGCAAAGCAGAGCTCTTTCAGCACAGCTCACAAGTGGGTGGATTAAAGCACAGCTCACATTTTTTGTTGAGAACAAACAAGCCTTTTGCATCAACTCCCAATAGAAACAACAGGCTGAACATGGCTGAGCTATGCTGAGCTTGTGAATGCGACACCCCGACACGAGGATTCTTCTGTTGGTCGTAGCAAGACAACTTGGAGCCAACGACCTGCCGGAGATCTACAAGACCTTCAAGGCACACCACGACCGGGTTTGGATCAAAGCCTGAACCCTAAAACCAACTTGTAGTCTATGTTCATTTGGTGATCAACCATGGTCCTCCTTTTTGGGGCCCACAGCAAGGAGCAAGATCACGTCGATTTCAGGCAGGAATGCAAGGATTGACCAAGTCAAAGTCTTTTTTGGTCGTGGAGGTTGTGGGATCACTGTGGTACATTGGAAAGCGGGGAACTGGGTTGTGCCAGAAAGCTGCTGCTCAAAGCAGGCCATGGATACCAATGGAGATGGCTCACTGTCTTTGGAGGACCGGGACCCTGAGACTGGATGGGAAAGCTGGCTACAGAATGGGCTATTAGTAACAAGTGCCTTACTAGTAGTAACAAGTGCCTTACTAGTAGTAACAAGAAGCTATTAGAAACTCTTCAGTTTCCACTCTCCTGGCCATGTGATGCGTGGCGCACCGCCCGCAGGAGTTCCAAAAATGCCTGTCCAATGGATCAGGCCAGACCGAGGATTGAGAGCATGGGGGGGGGGGGCATTTTGACCCAGACGGCAGCGAAGGGGTCACAGCGTACCACCAAACCTGCAATTGTCCCAGGTCTTGGGGGACGAGAACATATATGAATATCATGATCATCACATCACAGGCTTTGACGGAGAAGGCCCATCACGGGCTTTCTATAGCTATACAATTACTATCCAGTGCATGACATGGATCTCATATGCTGAACGCATGGTCATTGCAGCATGTCTACTCTGTCCTATACTCTGAAAAAAGAAGGAGGGGAACAAAGGGCTCGCTCGCAAAAAAGGCACTTCTGGAGAAAGGAAAAGGACCACTGCGGGCGTGGGGAGTGACGAAGCATCTGCGACGGCGGCAGGTAGCCCATCTCCAGAGGCCCATGCCACACCTGAGGCTGGTGAGGCTGCGGGAGGGTCACCTGCGACGATCAATACTACGATCGAAAATGGTAAGGACGAGAACACGAGGTGTATTGCTTGGCTAGTCCTTGGTGGCTTTGGAGATGTTTGGAGATGTTGTGATGCTAATTCAAGTGAATTCAAGGGTCTCAAACTGGCACATGTGAGGCAGGACATGCAGGACATGCTTAAGAAGCATCTTGTAGCCCTTGAAAGACCGTTGGCATGGAGCAATCCCGGCAATCCTGGCAACCTCTATCCCTTCAACTGCATCTTTAGTCCCAAACATATATATATATATACACCGTACCATCATGTACACCTTCCGTGGCTGGGTTGTTGCTGTCTCTCTTTCACTTCAGGCAGATGAGCTCTCCGAGCTCTTCGAGGCTTCGGAGACCCCATCAGTCCGCGCAAAACTCGGGGAGGTGAAAAAGGGGTGATGAGAAGTTAAGGCTTGAGAACCAAGGCAGGAGATTCTGAGATCATTCCAGACCGATTGACAAGGCTTGAGAGAGCAGGCTCTCGCGATTTCTTTCTTGCTTAGATTGGACCATGTTCATCCAAGCGTTGATTGATCGACCCCAAACCACATCACTGTACGAGACTGTCACCGAGGCCTCGATTCGGACCGCCCCTTCCGGCACTCGAGCGAACGCAACGTTCGCAACGTTCACAACCAGGCGCTCGATGCGGATGGTAGCGGTGCCATCGATTACAGCCCGGTGGCCTTGGAGGATTCCGGAGACTCCGAGGGTGACGAAGTGGGTGACCAGGGTCACGGTGGTGGTGGGACAAGGTGGGCTACAAAAGGCGGACTCAGGTAGTGAGGTAGTGAATGATGTTGGAAGGCGCCTGGGATCATCCGGAAGGAGTGGCCTGAAGTCCGATTTCAGTCCGATTGATCAAGGGACCCAGTTGTGAGCCTTTGTGAGTCATCATAGTCAGCGAAGGTCTGAATCTACGTGTTCTTCCAACTCTAACCCTTGGCCGAAAGGGTGTGGCAGATTTAGGATTACAGTGGGAGTTCCAACAAACGAACATCAGTCCAAAACAAGAAGGCCCTGCGTAATGAGCAGCTGGCAACTCTAGCCAATTCGCAAACATGATCCAACAGCCTGTCATGGCCTGTCCATTTTTTGTGTTACTGCATGCTACTACAATATGTCACTACTCTCGCATCTCGCTTCGAAGTCCCGCTGCCACAACGCCGCTTGGAACCGGAAAATGCCCCGCTTGGAACCGAGCCGTTTAGGTGAGTTTATGGCCGCAGCCATTGACCGCAAGATCTTTTTCAGAGAAGAGCTTTGCTTGCAGGCCGGCCGTTTTCTTTTTTTTTAGTTTGTCCGAAGACATGGATATTGTTTGGAGAAACATGGCCTGAAGCACCAAGAAAAAAAGCGATTTGTCAAATGTATGAATATAATTGAATATCTATGTTACAATTAATACAAAAGTATAAATTATATGTATATATGTCTATAATTTTCTATACATATGTTATATGATGTTATATGTATGTAACATGAGTGCAGTGCTGCTACATTCTGGAGATTGGTTCTCTGCGTTTTCTACATTATATATATATATCCGTTTGGCCGGTGATTTGATGGTTCCGTGTCGCAAAAAATCTCGTGTGACATCAAGTGACCAACCAGCGACATCCCGCGAGCTTCAACTCAGGTCTTTGCTGCTTTGGACCGAGATTCCAGCGGCACCATCTCCATCCAGGAGCGCGTCCTTCCGGTGCTTCTCCGGCGGAGTCGGAGTCGTTGAATGCAAGGGTCGGAACGGCTACACCGATCTCCACCGAACGCTCGCCCCGGCGGTGGCAACGTCGCGCTCGGTTTTTGTTGCTTTCGCACCGGCGGATCGAGCGACAACTTGAGGATGTTATATATATATATATGTGTATGTTTTTCGTATATTTTTATGACGTGGATATCTGGGACACCTATGGACGATTATGGACGTATATTTATATGACAGTTCTTTTCGATGAACCGCCCATATAGTAGCAATTCTGCTCCCTCCATGGCTGTTCTCATCCATAGACGAAGCTCAACGGTAAAAGAATCTTGCGTTTGTACCGAGAGTTTGGGAATCCCTTCGGTTGAAGGAAAGTGCCCCAAAGCCACCTTTGTCATTTGTCATGGTTACCAATGTTTTGGAAGGAAAACGTTTTTTCGGTCTTTCCAGATGACTCCAGGTTCTGCTGGGATTTCTTCCACCAATTTCCTCACGGTCGATTGGATCACCGAGTTGGCACGCGAACGCTCGGTCTCACCGGAGGAGCTTTTTCAGCTTTTGAAGGCTGCAGACCCAGAGGTGCCCCATCTGACATATAGACAGAAATCCAGCCAATCACGGGGAACTGAACATAGACAGACATTTCTGGTGCTGTCTTCTGCAAACCAAGGGACTTGGAGTGACATGAAGTGAATAGAACCAACACGACACTGGCTTTATAGAACCAACATGGCCACTGGCGTTTGTTCAACATGTCTTTGGGATTGGCATTAACGTTCTATCACAGTTTTTTGATTTCTCTTTCACTCTTGAACAGATACTGGACTGCCAAGCGTTTCTTCGTTTCGGCTTTTCCCAATGTGCCAGGGAACCATTGGTCACCGATCTGATCGTGAACTGCTCAATGCCTGACTAGAGGTGATGCTGGTTCCACCGGTTCCCCCTCAAAGAGAAGTGTCCTCATGCGAACGACTCAACCCCAGCGAAATCGCTCGTGCGAAGACCAGACACTGGTCGAAGGCATCCAACTTTCGGGTCTCGCTTTCGCCGGTCGAGACATGTCACCGTGACCCATGACCCGTGACATGACCTGTGAATCATTGAGAAAGAAGGCACAGAGAGACAAGCATCTCGAGAAATAAGAAATCCCCCAAAGATTTAGTATATACACGTAAATATGTAATTGAACAATATTGAAGATGATCTCCCATTTTGTAAGAAGGAAGAACTTCCGATCGGGTGCTCTTAAGAGATTGGCTTCTCTCCCTCACAATCGCTCGCTCCATCCACACTCGTCGGGAACAAATCGTCGACGATCGACCGATCGTCGCGCCGCCATGCGACGCCCGAGGATTTGTTGGGTAACGAGCTTCGGGATGAAGTCATGGAGCTCTTGGACCGTCGCGCGGTGACGAAAAAAGAGAAAAGGACCTTGGGACACCGGGGACGGGACGGGACATTTAAAAACTGTTTTTTTGTGTGTTGTTTGCGCTGTTTTTGTTTGGTGTTGTGATGTCAGTCAGTCAGTCAGTCAGTTTGTTTGTTTGTTTTTGCCACACCCAAATGTGAAAAAAACACGTGGATTTTGTCAGACGTGATGTTTGATGGCTTCCTCAAGTATACCATATAGATGACTTTTGATGATGACTTCTAACCTCCTCGTGTATATTGGATTATTGGATGAGGGTGGATGAGTGGAGGTCTCTCACGTTCATCTGAATGTGCAGGAGCTTTAGAGAGATCGGCCGGCTCCAAACCTATGTATTGTTCTATTGTATTTTACTGCACTAACGATTGCTTGGCCAGTTTGTGGTAGGGATCTTGCAACGGCACTTCCCCTCTCTGACAAGCGGCAATTAACAGGGAGCGATTTGCCGAGATCTCCCACTGTGGCGCATGCGTGGATGCTTTTTCTATCTTTTTCTGCCGGGAAAACTGGTACTCACCCCCCCTGCCAAGAGTTCCGGTGACCTCGACCATGAGCACCACATAACACCACATTGAGTTTTTTGGATGTTTTCGTTTCGCGTGGATCTCAGGCTATGATACGGACCGTGATGGAGAGCTCAGCTTTAGGGAGCTTAGTGGCAGCAATAGAAGGAAAACACAGCCCATGTTGGTGCCAAATCAAGGATTTCGCCTGGGAATTCGGAGACGGAGACTGCGAGACAAGTTCAAGTCGGGTTGAAACTCCAAATGGCAACCAGCTGGAGAGACCTTTGGATATGTTTGGCATCATTCTGAGTGGTTCCGAGGCCATTACTACTACAGAATAAAGGACGTAATTAGGTGGAGGCCATCGCAAGTAGGTTGGAGGTCATCGCTGCTAGGAACAAGAAGCTAGTAGCAAGTTGAACAATACCGATGGCCGCAGCACGTCCACGTCCCCACATCTGCAGCACAGGTTTCGGGCCTTGCTGACGCAGAACCGCGAGGCGGATGCTGGCGGACGCCGGCGGACGTTGGCGGACTCTGGACGTTTATGGCTTTGTATGGCTCTGTGGATTCAACACTTCCGAAGACTTAGGATTGTTTCATGAGCTTTCAACTAGTGATACTAGTGTAGCCAGTAGCTTTGGATGTTTTGTTTTTATTGTTCAAACCATCTGTCTTCGATTCAGCTTAAAGTCTTCGATTTACTATCGGGCTGTGCAAAAAAGGAATCAACCACGTCCTTCGAAGCTGTGCGATCTTCTCGCAACCGCAGGGATCGCCGCCCAAGCGGTTGCAAAAGCGGGTATCACAAGGCTCGGATTTGATGACGAAATCTCCCTCCTACTAGGCGTGGATCTCAGCATGTCAACTTGACGCTGCTGCACACTGCACTACTCTTTTTGCTCTCCATGCTGCAAGCTGCCTGGAGTTTTGGAGTGATTTTCTGCAGGAGGAATGCATCGTTTGCATTCTTAGGTCATAGCCCCTGTTCCAAAAGTACTGCCAGCACGCTGTTTTGTTCTTTTGCTTGGCGACTCTGCATTCAAATCGCACATAGTGGATAGGTGTTCAGCCATGTTCAGCCTACGCAATGTAGTATATAGGCCAATACAGAACTGTCGGGCAAAATAACAAACCATTGTTGTAAAAGTTCACGTGGACACCGTGGACACCCTTTGTTGCTTTCATACTTTAACAATTCTTGTACCAAAGGGTGTAATTTGAACACATCAGCCAAGTCAAGGTGTTGGAGGATTGTCAGAGGATTGCCATGGTAACGCACGAGTAATAAATGGCTTGGCAACACACTCACAGCCCCAGTTTGCCAAGGTGCAGCTGTCAGTTGAGTGCAACTGCACTTTTGGTATGCGGAACACAGGCCTTGGGCCGTTTTGAAAAATCGGTCATACTTGATCAGGTACACTCATCTAAAACCCCACTGTGTGTGTGTTCTTTTTAAGAGAACACAGATCGATGGGAACAGAGTCCAGAGTTGGGTTGGAGGAATCATCCAGAATTGAGGCCCTTGGAGACTCCTACCCCGGATGCCAACTCGCAGTGCCAATAGTGCCAGCACTGCCACGGATTGATGGGCTGTGGTCGGAAGTTCTTTTGGAAGAAAGACAAGTTCCGAAAATTGCAGCAACGGTAGAATCTGTTGAAATTTACTTTTACGTAGAGGTATTGACTGTAAACATGTACTGTACGCACCCTGTAGCGTAGACGTACTTGCTCTACTGCAGATTCCCTCCCTGCACAGTTTCTGTGGACTGTTCCAAAACTGAGAGGACGGCACCTGGTGCACACCATGGCTGTGAGTGAAACCCTCCCCTTTTCGAGGAATTTGTTGGTCAAGCAAGATCCCCCAGTGTTGACCCGTAGGCAAAGAACTTGAAAGGAAAAAGCAAAAGGGTACGTGAACATGCCTCCTGTCCTCTCCTGCGTGTTCTCGGTTCTCATTCAGATCACTTGGACAACTGGGGGCCACGAATTCAGAACCCATTCAGAGCAGTGAAAAGAGGTGAAAAGCAAAAAGAGATGAATGTCCGAGAGTTATGTTCAAGCATGCAATGCAGACAGTCCATACCAAAAGTATCTGAGTACATCCAAGCGCGGAAGATGATAGGAATGACCTGAGACATGAACCCACGAGACAAGCTAGAACCTATGACAGCGGTGGCTGGTGTGTTGGGGCTGCTGTGCTGGTGGATGGTCAGCCTGAAGGGCTTTGCTTGCAGTTCACACGGATCTGCACCGATCCTTCTGCTGACGGAAGCCAGAAGAACACCTCGCAGTTCACAAGCGAAAAGCACTGTTCGCAGTTCACAAGGCACTTGCTGGAACGACGACGTTAAAACACGACCTATTGGTTACTAGTAGTCTGCAACCTCTGGCTTCCACATCCCTGGCTTGCCTAGGGCACCCGTCGGGTCAGGATGCCTGTGCCGTTTCCACTGCTTGCTGGGTCGTTCGACATTGGTCTTCCATGATCCCAGAATGTCGGAATGTCCTTCGTTTTCTGGATCTTCGATTTGATGCTCGTCGTCGACCAATCCGTCAAGCAGAGAATGAACATGAACAAAATATTTTCGGTGGCTGCCTGCTCCTAAAGGATGGGCAACGTTCGTCGCAGGTGGCTGAGATGGGCTAATTGTTCGTCGAGTCGCACGCACTGGCTGATTTGTTGGACGCCGAAAAGGCCGCCTTTTAGGTCCAAGGAGGTGTCTCAACAAAAGGCTGTGCTGCGTCGAGTCAAACATGATTCAACATGACGATTGACTACTTGACCTGGCTAGGTCAAGGGAAGCCTCTCCTCTAGAACTGAACTACTGTTGTGGAACTTGACCTTTCTACATGACCTCAAAGGGAGCCTCTGCTACCTGTACGTTTCGTATCGTTTCATATGACCCTGTTGGAAAACCGAATGCTGGCCATCAAGGTAGCAATGAAATCGGTTGGGCACGACATGTGGGTGTAAGATGGTGTAAGCTGCTGCATGGCGTGACGTGTTTCTCATCCAGTCTTAACCATGTAGGCGTGTATTGGAATAGAGTGAGAATCCCCAGTTTGACCCCTGGGAACTGCCGACACAGACTAAACATGATTAAACATGAACAGCCAACCAACATTTTTCTTAGCTGAATATGATCTAACGCTGACCTCGGTTTCTTTCTGACTGAGCCCAGCCGACGAACGAAAAGCTGATCCGTGGTCACCTGATTAACGATATTTTCCACAGCAAGGCTCTAAGCAGCCGCTGATTCACTGAATTTGCTCCGAACCCGAGCATTCAGTTGCATAAGCACATGGAAGACACCCCCATTCAGCGAAATACTATCATCCGACTTGTAGAAGTGCAGAACCGACAATTGACAATACTGTAGTAAATTGCTTTATTGCTTTGGAAACTTTGAGACATGTGTGGGAGATGGATATGGTCCTCCAAGTGCAGTATACAAAGCTTTGTGAGGCTAGCAAAGTCCTCCAGAACTCTACACTTGCTTCTTTAAATGTGCATTGCAATCGATTCAATCCCAATGGATGACCCATAGACCTGTTTCTCATGACTGCTCTTTTTCAGGTCAGTCTCACATTGCCATAGAAGGCTTTTTGTGGTACACGGCCACAATTTATGTCATGTCTGTGTAGAGAGCGTATATGGAAGGTAGCAGAGCCCTTGTCCGATGCCAAGGGCCAAAAAGATGCCGCAGCACCACAGGCTCTACTTTACTCTGTAGGTATTTCCTGGGATGTTATATACAGCAGTAGGGTCAGTAATGTTTTCTTGAGAATACCCGGAGTATCGCCAACTTTTCGATCCAACACAAAAGCATTCAGTACTGGCTTTTTCATGCTTTTAATTACAATAAGAACCTTTTTGAAAGAAGATGGTGGAGACCACTTCTTAAGTTGCCAGTGTAATCTAGGCTCTCAATCTCAAGTTTGGGATTGTTGCCACTGGTTCTGTATTCCTCACAGGAGACAGTTGATGAGCCAGCCAAGGAGGACGGATGGGATAGAAGCAAACAATGTTTGATTCAGATCAATTGCTCACTTGATTGAACACAGGCGAAGCCAGAAGTAGTGGCCAGCCCCGCACGCGTGCGCGTGAGCACATCATGAATTGGGGCGCTTCAGGCGGGAGTCTCCCGCTGATGGTTTGAATGAAGTTACTTAATTGCTGTTACTTTGATGACCAGCCAAAGTCAACGTTTGGCATTCTTCTTTAGGTCGGAGGTCATCACTAGTAGGGCGGGTGGAGGCCATCGCTACTAGGATCTTCTCAGTGTTCTTTTTGGGCCTTTGAGTGTCACATGTCTAGGGCTGGGGCATCCTTCAAACTGACATGAGTGAGTATGGGTTCAGACTGCACTCTCGAGAGGTTTGAATCAAGGAGACTTCGGGCGGTTCTATATAGAGAAGCAGCGAGGCTTCTCCCTTGTACCATTCCTTCACCACATATTCATTGTTGCAAGATATTTTGTTGGGCGGGTCACACACAAGGACAATGCAAACGTCTCTTTTACTATCCCGGGGTCTAGTGTTCCTTGTCAAATTTACTGTCCATTTTCCTGTGAGCATCGTTGGCAGATCTCATGAATACCTTTTTGCATACAACAGTTTGTAACTACCGAACCAAAGGGCGCGATGATTTACAATCCAGCGTCAGATTTGGACATTGACGAGGAAGCAAGCATTTGTCTAGCACGAGACCAGGTTGAATTCGAGACCTACCAGGGGCTATGTGGGTGCAGCTCCAAGATGGGTGAAGACTGATGACGTGTTGTAGTTTTCAGTGCTGAATTTGAAGGCTTCAGAAGGTCTTACATGGCGAGCACAGGAAGTCTCTTGGGCTTTTGATTGGCTGATCGAGCGTCAGGTGCTGCGTGCATCGCAGGCAGCAAAGGATGCTTCCTGAGTTCAAAGGTTTCGGCCATTGCTGGAAGACAGGACTTTGTAGACTTGTAGACCCTTTTATGGAACGTATTCTTCTATGTTTAGATTGGAGACACCTTGACATCAAAGATATACCTTGACATGAATACTAGACAGATTCACAAGTTGCAGTTTGTTCGGCTTTTGACCTCACATCATTCAGCTTAAATGAACATAAAAGAACACGCACAGCACTACTAAATATGCCGCAATAATGCAATTATGCATTGAAAAAGCATATGTTTAAATACATCAATCTATTTTGTTTAATATTGCATAGACATTAAGGCAAGTGTATAATGCACCGCGTGCCTGAGGGAGGACATCAATTTGTACCAACGACTAAGGCATAAGGGTGTAATAAGAGGAGATCAGAACCTAAAGGACCTAACGCTCGGAATATCAACGTATATACTACCCACAAAGGCTACTAAGAGTAGGAAAAAGAGGGTAAGAGAGCGAGAGCGAGAGCGAGAGCGAGAGCGAGAGCGAGAGCGAGAG